TAAACATCAATATGTCGGAAATTTTTATTTCCTGTTTACTTTCGGAAAAACAACTTTAGCAAAATATTCAGTAAGTTTCTTTAGTAAAAATAATCTCTTCCAAACATTCAGATATTTTAAGCACAGTTAGTAGTTTTATCTCTGGTTTCAAATGTCAAAGCTTCATCCCCCGGTTAATTGGTAAAATAGCATCGTTTGTTACACGTAAAAGTCATCAGGTACCTCAAATCCAGATAATATTATTTAAGCAATGTAAAATTTAGATTATTTGAAACAGGCATTCGATCAGATTGAACTCTTTGTCATGACTGGCTATAGCTAGGAATAGAACTCATGATCAGAGAGCACGGTGGATTTCAATATTTTTATTGACGTTGAAGCTTTTGAAAAATACTTCATTAGAGTTCGCAGACTTTTGCTCATAAATTTTTTTTTCACAAACTTGCCGATTAATCTATTGTTAGATTACTTATTGTGCAAATGAAAACTATTTCAAGTACACTACTCTAGAGTTTTATTGTGTGAATCACGCGATTAAATACCTCAAATTACGAGGGTTGTTCGAAAAGTTCGTGGACAATGTCGATTTCCGTTATATTACCTACTAGATATTTTAAATAAGCATAATATACTAATCAAAATTTCTAAGTCCCCATGTAAGTTTTTGTTTCACACTGCCTTTATATTAAATAATTTAGGCAATATAAATTGATAACTATACATGGTAAAAAGAAGCAAAACAATTTTTTTTTTCACTTAATCTAATTTTATTGAAGGACTTTAACACAAAATGCAGAAAAGTGAAGGCACTCTAGAATTAAAAATTCGCACCGTTCAATACTGTTATTATCCTCCATTCAAAGGAATTAAGATCAAGACAAATGCTTCTCAAAGAGTTCACACAATTAAACAAAAATCTTTATTGAAGGTAATTCCATGTATGGACTAGGTTGTCCTCTATATTTCCGCTAGATTCTGCTGCTGGAAAAGCGCTTGCCTCTGGTCCATCTTGCCCCATTTATGTTCTATCGGGTTGAGATGTGGATGACATTGAAGCTTACAGAAATTGTTTGTACCCGACAATATTTATCCTACAGTACATAAGGTCTCCTTACACGCATTCCCCACTCTTCCAGTTTGTTTCTAATAATTTGGATAATTAAAGACACTTCAATTAATTTCTAATGAGTGCAGAGCAATTGCACGTGCAGATAGGTTCCTTCCACAATAGATAGTAATTTTTATGTAGTAGCCCTATTGATGTGTCGTTGCAGTACGTGTATACGCCTTGACCATTGGCACTTTCGGTTCCGGTTTCAGTGAATTTCCGGTTAAACCCTACGATGGTTTAGTAGCATTCGTTGAAAATCTAGCAATTTCTAATGATTATAAGGGATATATGTAAGCTTTGTGCATCTTCCTGACGGTATTTTGAACGTTTTAATAAAATAAACAAATACAAAGGAAGGAAATACAAATCTCCTTTACTACCACCAGTTTGGACCATGTCAACTTTACTTGCACATAGTCGTTCGTACATACACGGCATTTCAAACAAGCTTTTTTCTTTTTTTTTCTAAACAACTAAAGATGGATAACCCATGGAAATTTAATTAAATGAAAGATACACCCGAAAATATATGAAACTCGCACTTAATACTTTTTAACAAAATCGGTCATGGATGAGTAATTACATATTCGATTCCAATTTTTTTTTTGGCCGTAACAGGCCATCATTAAAAATTAAGTCAAAATTGTGAACAACTAGTTAATTAATGTAAAGGTTTTTAAATACTTAAAATAATAAAAGTGGGGACTTAGAAATTTTGACAAGTATATGATAAGTGAAAATATTGGTTTTGTTGATGTTAAAAATTTCATTCCATATATATATATATATATATATATTTATATATATATATATATATATATATATATATATATATATATATATATATATATATATATATATATCAAAACATTGCCTTAAGAATTTCTTTAAAAAATTACTACCCCTACACATTATCCAATGCCAACTCATTAAAACTTTTTTCTAATATTTTACATTTTAACAATTGTTCTCGATGTTTATATTCCTTTGTAAAGGTTTAAATTTCTTTTATTACTTAACTCTGCTTTTACGGGTAGGCACCTCTGAAGAGCTTATGTCTTTCTTTGACGTTCCAACTTTTGAAAGTGTTTGTTTATATTTTCACAGTTCTTCACAGATTGTCCTCACCCACAATACAGTCTCTACCAAATTTATTTAAACAGATACTGCCTGTACAAAATTTGTCCACAACAATTCATTGTGTAATCCCCCCCCCAAAACATTTTCAATATATAAAGGATTTTTCCTGCGCTGTGTAAAACACAAGATTGCATCGTTACGTTCTGAAACGTCACAATTTTTTCTGGGTGATTGAAACTTCAGATGGATGTTGATATCTAATGGCTTTTAGTTAACGTTCTTATTTCTTAAACATACACAAATTAATAATATATATGATTCAATTAAGATATCTTTTAACGTTATTTTTTTTAAATTATTGATTAATGAAAAATCAATAAAGAAATAGCATTGTTTGATATGTTTTTGTCTCAAACACAAGTACTTTAAATCCATGAATTGGGGAAAAAATCTTGTTTTTTTTATTGTCACAATAATTTAAATTTGTCTGATAAGATGTATTGAAGACTACAGTTGTGTAAATTTTACAGCCCCTTGATGACCTAATATGTTCTTTGTACGATCGAGTTCGCCGGTTTACTAATGTACATAACTATCTTGATTTGTTTAGAACAACTTTCCGTACTATACATCCATTTTTTGTTAACATTATCTGTACATAAACAATTTAAACAGCATCATTTAGTTTCATTTACCTCTGGCGCTGGGGATGTCTCTTCCTCCTACGCATCTGATTCCATCTCTGGAATATCAGGTGGTCCGTGTTTTAGCCCTCTCTACATATTTGTATTGTTTGAAGATTTTATGAGATTGATTACTGTTTGCTATCTTCAACATCTTGCTGACTTTATTGTTTTTCATATAGATTTAAAACCAAAGCGCAAAATAATAACTTGATGTATTGAACAGACATTGATGTAATATATAGACGTTGCGCACGGTGTTGGTGTCAAAAAGTTTTAATCACCATTGCTGCATCGTTAATCTCTCATTTATGTGTGATGGAAAGTATTTACTATTAAAGTTATATATCATTCGGTTGGTAATTATATTCTCTATACATTTCTATTGAAAAACCTGTCCAAAAACTGATTATTAAAAATATATTTGGTCTAATATAACGAAAATTACGTCAAAATTACATGTAGACGGGTAACAGGGGCAATGCATATGCAGTAGCAAAATGTTGATAACTTCATCAAAATATAAAATATCTCCATGAAATTTAGCGGAAAAATTAAAAATATGATGTAAATCATGTACGTCATTTCTATTGTGATGTCATTCAATATGTATGCCACAGACGCTGGCTTAAAATGTAAAATGGGTGTGTAGACAGGCGTAAAAAAGGAGGAAAGAGAGAAGGACCATGGCGGGTAATTAGATATTTAAGAAAAAATCAAATGTTTTAAAATAGATTTAGTAATTTTATTTCAATAATACTAATCAAAATAAAAATAATCGTATTTTGATATTACATTAAAAGTGTAATAAGAGCCTTATATTTTGAAGATTCTTCCGATGATGTTATTATATTTTTGTGTCACAAAGTTCTAGAGTTGCTATTTCTAAATCGCGTGGAATAGGTCAATTGGTTATACTGGGTTAATGATCACTATCAAATTTTCAAAAATCCATTATTTCTTCTCATATTATCAGTATATGCAAATCTATACAATTTTTTTAGTATTTGACGCAGTAAATTTTCTGAAAAATAATAAAATAAGATATCTATCTATGTGTCACAAAAATAAAATGACGACGAAAACGTCATAGTTAAATGCGATGTTCCATTATTTGATTTCCTATTATGAATTTATTATTCAATTAAGCCCCCTCGAATTTTATATATACAATGTGCAAATTCAGATTTTCCTTGAGACATAAAATTGAATTAATTCTTCAATAATATGATTACTTTAGAGACAATCTACGGAGTCAACATGTAATGTCACACTTTGCACAAAATTGATAACGCGTATTAATTTGATATGATAGTAGTAATATCAACCAATTCTATAGTCTTTAAAAAAAGACAAAATAAAAAAAAATAGATTTTTATCGAATGTGCATCTCTTAAAAAAGAAATCTATATAAATAAATTTATATTCAATGAAACGGTAACATTATCCCACCAAGAATTGAAAGTCAACATATAATGTCACAGACGTAAAAATTAGGGTTATTTTGATGTTCAATTCTAATTAACGTACATTAACGTAAACATATAATTTAGAGTAAAATTAAAAAGAAGTTTTATATCCTTTAGTTCATTCTATTGATGTATTTAATGACATTAAATGCTAAAGAATGTATTTTTTTTTATTAAATGGGAAGGGGGGCTATATACAATGAACTAGTATATATTTTAAAATTATAAGTAATTTATTAAACAGATGTTGGTCTAAAAGTTACATTTAAACATTTAGGCACGAGTAAATTGACAGCTGCTGAACGGATTAAAATAAGTAAGGAAAAAAGGAGCCAAAAGAAGGTGCAACAAACTATTGAATGGAGGAAGAGGGTAAACGACAGCAAACAAAACCCCGAAAATGACAGGGGATCCCACCAAAAATGTCTTGTTCGAGGTACAAAAATCCCACCACAATTGTTATTTTTCCCGGATATTTTTTTTCTATGCACACAATTCCAATAAAATGTCAACATGAAATTCGTGTAAAACATTGAGCGGCATTACTTTTAAAGTAAAGTCAACGGTTTGGTACTGGAAAAAAATAATTTAAGTCAAGTGTTCCATTTAAGTGTTCCATAAAATATAATTTTACAATTTTTGAGATATAAAATTATGTGATTTATCTCCACAAAATTACAAAATTGTCAAATGTTCTATTTAGATGCAAACATAAAAGCTGCAACAATACGAAAACGAAAACAGCGCGAACAGGAGAGGATAAAAAGAGAAAATAACAGAGTCAGAAAACAAAGAGAGAGAGAATTTAAATCTAACCTTAACAAATTAAATGAATTTAAACGCACCAAAAAAATGAAAAGACAAAAAAGATGGCGCAAGAAAAAAAACGACCAACAAATATCGAGCGAATTAAAGGAAGTCACTGAACTATCTTTTGAAAACAAAATGCAAAAAAGTAGAGCTTTGAAAAAATTAAAATCAAATTTGCCAAACTCTCCTATAAAACAAGCTGCTACCATTGCAGCATTTCTAGAAGACAGCAATTCACCTGTTGTTAAAATACTAGAATCTAAAAACCTTGTTCCTTCTCCGGAGGAAAAAGAAAATTCAATCCTTCAAAATTCTGTACTCGGGGATATAAAAGAGTCTGTTTCAAAACTGAAAATGAAAAGGTGTGACAAATCAAGGGAGGTAATGGATTTTCTGACAGCCTCCGTCAGTGGAGATTCTGTAAAAGAGTCTAGGTCTAAATCTTCTCTTGCTAAAAAGCTTGGACTTCCTGTTCGCCGTATATCAAAGGCCTATGTTGTACGCAATAAAATTTTTCATTCAGAGTCATCTAGCTTCACGTATACGAAGCGAAAAACAAGGTCAGACGCTCTGTCTGACGAAAACAGAAAACTCATATACGAATTTTGGTGCGCCCCCGAAAATTCTCATCCGACTGGAAATAAGAATGATGTAAAGCGGGTTAGAATCGGGCCAAAACAGTATTCATCACACGCAGTTCAAATTCTAGAAAAATCCCAAACAGAAATTTATAACGATTTCAAACTACAGTACCCTGAAATTAAAGTATGTCGAAGGCTCTTTGAGGCGTGCAAGCCATATTACATTCGTTCAGCCGGACCCAAAGATAAAGTGACTTGTTGTTGTCGCTATCATCTGGAGATGAAATACGTTTTTAGGGCATGCATGACTTATAGGAAAACCTACGTTTCAAATCCAAATCTGTATGAACATATTAACGAACTAGTCTCTCAAACACTGTGTCCCCCAAATAATGAACATTACGCGAAAGCTTGTTTAGATCGAAAATGTGAACAATGCGGTGTTCACAAGTTATACCTGTATCCCGAGGAGCGAGAATCGAATGATGACTCCCCAGATGTAACATGGGATTGTTTCGAGTATAAGACTGTAAAATCAAAAGGGGGAGAAACCAAAAAACTTATGATGACAAAAAAAATTACTAAACCAGCTGAACTTTTTGATTACTTAAAACAACTTCTACACAAATTTCCCTCCCACAATATGCGTGCAAAATGGCAAATGCAACAATTAAAGAATTTGCAACAAAGTTTGCCACAAAGTCATTGTATAACAATTCACGACTTCTCTGAAAATTACAAATGCTGGGATAAAAATGAAATTCAATCAAACTACTTTCAAAGAACGGAGGTTTCAATCCATGTAACAATAATTCATAGGCACGCGATTCTCGAAGTCGACGGTATTGAAAGTACAATGGAAGATCCAAATTTGATAACAGAACATTTCTTCACCATTTCTCCAGACGAAAAACATGACCAATATTTTACTCACCATTGTCAGAAATTAGTTTCAGATTATCTTAAATCTATTTCATGCGAGGTACATACGATGCACGAATTCTGTGATGGCTGTGCAGCACAGTATAAGAGTAGGCATTGTTTTGGAGATGTCTCTGAATCTGTCGCTGAATTTGGATACACAACATTAACTCGAAATTTTTTCGAAACAAGTCATGCTAAAGGACCACAGGATGCAGCTGGTGGGTTCTTAAAAAATCAAGCTGACTTAGCAATTCTGCGTGGGCAGTGCATAATTCAAAATGCAAAAAAATTGTTCCAATTTGCCAATGAAAAATTACAAAATCCGAAAGGTGTCTCAAATGTAAAACGCAGAATTTTTAGATTTGTAGAGGAAATTCCTCGAGATCCACCCAGACTTTATAGCCCTCTTCCTGGTATTCGCTCCATCCATCAACTTATTTCAAATATATCAGGAAACAATTATGTCAGATACCTTTCGTGTTATGATTGCGAAGAATGTCTAGAGGGAAACGTGACGAATTGTACAAATACAGATTTCTTGGGCACCCCTACATCTACTATATTTTCCCCTGAAATGCGGTCACACGATATTAATGATGCCGTTGACGAAACTAATGAATATCATCCACTTTCCGAACTTGTTTCAAAAGGTTGCATCCTTGCTTTGTTGTCAGAAGAAAGTGATTATTATTTATTTAAAGCATCATCAAAGTCAACAGTTCTCGAACAAGATGAAACGGACAAGTGGGGGGCGTCATATAAGTCCGGAGACGAAGTATTGCGAGGAAAGTATTTTATACAATCCAAAGAAAATCCTTTGAAATTCAAGATTAACCAGAAAAAATCTGCCATTGTACCTGTAAAATCTATTCTTTATATGTTTTCAAAAAATGAACTTCCTATTAATGGAAACGAAATTATCCTTTCAGAGGACATGCACCTTTCAATTTTACAAAGTGTGATTGATTCACGTTCACTTCAGTGATATACTTGTAAATGTCTGAATATTCTTCACTGTTGCATCATGCTTTACTAAATATAAGGACTATCATATAATATGAATGTGTAGCACTGAAGGAAATGAACAATAAGCTACTGATTTAGAGTTTTACTATATTTTTTTAGTTTTCAAAACCATACAATAACAGCCAAAATCAATTAGAAACACAAGGCTATAATTAAAATTTTGTTTCCTTTCCATTTGCCGACCGACTGGATAAAAATGACCCGACTCTAAATTTTTTTTAAAAATCATGAAGAAAATATTGTTTATGTAATCTGAAAATATGTTTAAAATTTAGCTTTGATACTGAAATTTTCTGTGAAAAATAATGTTCATGTATCTCATCTACTGACCCCAAATTTTTATCCAGAGTCGGGAGAGGACAAGCAAACAATTTTTTAAAGCTGGCCTAAACGACATTAACTCGACCTTCTAACGTCATGTTAAATAACGTCATTTTGACGTTACCGAAAGTGACACCAACACCGTGCGCAACGTCATACATTTATTTTTAGTTCAATCCAGTTGATTCTGCGTCCACAAAAGTTCCAGGTTTTGTCAAAGATCCAACATTGAAAGAGCGAATGCATGTTGTTGTGTTTGTTATTGACGGAAGCACATTAGATGTTCTACCGGAAGACACGCTTAAAAAACTCAAGGACTTCAAAACGATGGTAGTTGACAGGGGTATGTGGACTTTCTTTAAAAGTTAAATCATTATATATAACATATTGCTCTTTAAGGATATTCTCTTTTATATAATTATCACGACTTGTTAAAAAAAGACCGTTTTTTTTATTTAATAACTTATGATGCATTCAAGAAAAAAAGATACTTTTCTGAATGAACTGTTTGTGAGGCAGTCTATGTTTAACAGGTCGGAGAGAATACTCGAAATCGGGTATTATCCGTGAAATCGCGTATAATACTCGATATTAGGGTATCGTTGTATCTGCGAAATCGGGTATTCCGTGCAATTTTCTATAAAAATTAAAGAATAAAGCAACGGCGTAATATGCCAGTAACTGTTACTTGTACATCAGTATCTTGTGGATTTATTTTTATTAAACCCAATTCATAAGGTTATCAAATAAGTTTAAAATCACACAACAAACACTGCCGGGGAAACAAATTATTTTTCGATATAATTTCTAAACACAAATAACTACACTTTGTTTGTCTTTATTTCCCATTAAAGTATTCCATATACTTAATTTTCTAATTTGTGCACTGTTTACAAAACCTGAAATTTTAAAGAAATTAAACGACTGACGCCGTATTATGTTTTTTTTACTCAAAAATGTATGGCGTCCATTTCTCGTGAAATATAAATTACTCCTAACAGTTAGAGAGTACAGTATAAGCGAGTCTTAATTGTATATCTCTGCAATAATAGAATACCAAAGTTATTATAAAGAGAAAAATAAAATGAAAGGAAATAAATACCCACGGGAAAACAGTTTGAAAATAGCTAATTGAAGCTAAGTATCTTTTTTTATGTAAATTTGGCATGAAATTTTTATTCAAAGACACTTTAAATTTTTTGATTGCATTTTAATCGATACAAAATATACTATTTTACCTTTATTTTATGCATTTGTGTGGAAATCGAGAGCGAGAAGTCATATGAACAGGATTTTCTTCTTTTTTTAGGGGGGGGGTATAAATGAAAGTCAAATGTGTACATCTTTTCATGAAGTAAAAATACATTGAATTTCTCAATAAAGATAGAGGTACAGTCATTGAAATATGAATTACATAGTCAAGTTTTCACATTTCTTATAGTTTTTAAGTTTATGAACATGTTAATGAACAAACTGAAATAATGGAGTGTTCTATTGCCTTGGAAACTCTTGTCTTACTTTTGAGGAATATAATTCCTCATCGGGCATTAAAATTTCATAAAAATCGTAGCCACTTACTTTCTTTATTATACTATTTGATAGACAGGGTGAATTTTACATCTTTACCTTCTATATTTTTTTATATTGCTATCTTATACCTCATTATATAATACAACGCACTATCTGACTGGTTCTAGACAATATGTCACAGTTTTCTTTTAGTAACTGTTATTTTATCTACGATACATATTACTCATGGCAATAACTTTTTCCAATACTCACCTATAATGAAAAAATGTGTTTAAAAAATAAACATGAATTCTAAATACTTGTAGTCTTATATTGTGTTAGAAAATAACAGGTTGCTTTTTGTTTACCTACAATGTATATGATTTTTATTATAACAGATGAATAAATCTTCCCTACGTATAAAAATATATGACCGAGTTTAACCGACCGTGACATTAAAAGAGTGGTATCTTGGATACATGTAGAACACAGTCGAGGTTGTTTTGTCTGAGGTGATCAAGAAGCCTTTAGCCCCCCCCCCCCCCCTTTTGAAGTCGCCAAGAAATGGTAAAATATTGATGACTTAGCGAAATTAAACAATCAGTAGTTATGTTCTCTCATAAGCTGTATTCCTGAAACTATCACTGTTTCTGCTTAAATGTTGAAGACATTTTCTGCAAATATGTTTGATTGATAAATATAAAAGAAAAGATTTTCAGAAAAGAGAAAGAGGGTTCTTTTAGCCGAAATTTTAGACATTTTTATCATTACATTATTTATACATTCATAAATAAATTTGATTTTATGCACAAGATGAATGTGAAAGTAATTAATGACGCATAATTAGATACGATAGACAATCCCTCGTTTATACATGTCATCATATCTGGTGTGTGAAATGTGTTTCCGTATAATTTGATTTATTTACAAATTGTTTATGTTTGTCGTGTTGATGTGGAATTATTATAAATTCCCAAATTCTAATACTTTACAATTCTGTTGTGTTGGGAATGAACATTAGGAAGATGCATCTACTTTCAACATAAGGAAAAATATAAAGCAAATCGAACGCCTTTTTGTGTGCAGATCATGAAATGTACTGAGCTCCACGGATATTTGTTGTCCCGAGCGCATTAATCTTGACGCCCAAATTCTTACTTGACTAGTGATACCTTTAGAAAACATGTGTATCTAGATGAAAGTTAACTTGGCAACATGCGCCATCCCATTGTTTAAGTTTTATTAGGTGATTACACCTCCTATACCCGATTTCGCGGATTCAACGATACCCTTATATCGAGTATTATACGCGATTTCACGGATAATACCCGATTTCGAGTATTCTCTCCAACCTCTTTAATAACATTTGATTTTTTCTTTGCGATTACATTCTATTAGTTACAATTTGAATACCATAGGTATACCTCAATTAGTTTTACTTACCAAAATGGACAAGGTATGTGAATTTGTCGAGAAGGATATCAGCAATATGTTTGTGAGCGAAGTTGTAGAGGGCCTGTGAACAAAGCTGCTGACGTCATCGGAATCCCAAGATCCCACGTAATTCCGGTGAAGAATTACGAAAAAGAAACACTTCTTAGCATAAATGTAAACATCCTGGCTCTAGGAGCGTTACGCCAGGCACTCTTGTTCGCTGATGACTTTCTGGAGAACCAATTAGAAATTGAACAAGAAAATTCACGGCGTTGAGTTCTAGAAGCACTGATTCATAAACTAGATTTCGAACGTTTTCAGCATGCATTTTTTAAGAAAAAGACAAAAAATGAAAGTGATTTGATGTAACATGTATTCTTTGCACGTATTTCCCAGTATTGTCATCTTTTTTAAAACTCATCTTTAATCAAAAAGTAACCAAAATGTCATTTGTTTTTAAGGAATATTGTATGAGTTGTTGAAATCAATAAAATACTAGTATGAGATATCCCTCCCCTAACAAAGTTAAAGTCCAAATTCCTGTCTCTTTGACTTCCGTGCATCTGCAACAGCTTGATTCTCCTCTACTCGGAATTTTAGTGTATTTATCTTTTTATAGGTATAATTTTAACGAAGATGGCGAGTAGCTTTTTTCGTTTAAAATACATTTGTTATTGCCTCTTTCTTACGACAATGCAAAACCCCAAGACCAAATGGAACTTCTATCAGTTGTACCATTATTGCATGAAATTCGAAATCATTGACTCCTAATATAAAAAAAACTATGTGTATTCATTTAGTGCATCACATGAATTTCAATGCACAAGTTGTGGTTTTAATTTATTTTTTTTCTGCTTTTCGTGACCATACTACATGTATTTACTGCTCCATAATTATAAACAGCAATTTGCTAGTGCAAGGTAGCCAAGGAATCGATCTGTCGGTTTTTCATAACTTTCAGTCAGAAATATTTCGCAAATTATTCTATTTTTGGTGTCTTTATATTTTACTCTTTATTATGTTTTATTGTCGTCTCACTCTAAGTTTAGTTGTTTAACAACAATTGTTTGAAAAGAGCAGGGTTTGTTTACTTAGAAGTGATCCTGTCTATACTCTAGTTACACTATATTTTGTTTCAAATACTTAGTACTTTTATGTCATGGAAGTAAACTGCTTTGCATTTATGAATATTTTATACAAGAAATACAATAACCAATATTTTTTTTTTCATTTACTTTGTGTTTGTTAACCAATTTAACACAAAAGGGGTTCCGAACGATTTATAAGGTCAAATATCATTTGAAAAGGTTTCCAAAATGTTGTTTTAAACCCAGAACAACTGTTCAAGTATAGGTGTTTTCCTAGTTATGTTCAGCAGACACAACAGACCAATACACTATAGTTAGGACAGACATTTATGTTAAAATTTTATTGTTCTTGTGCCAAAGTTTAGAGTGTTTTTTTTTCCTCAAATCCATTTTAACATGTCAACAGAAACACGGTATTGCATCAGGCTTGTGATTTATGTACACTATTTTCTGGTTATTTGCTTTATTGATTTAAATGATCGAGCCATCACTGCATGGTGTTTGGACTCAGTCTTGCTTTGTAAATGACAAATGTTGTCTATTGCATGTCATTTTTGTCAAACAGTGTTTTTTTTCCAGCTGTATGATGTAGATTGCAGAACGTCAC